TCCTTCTGAGGAGTGGCTGGTGGGTTTGAACCGCCAGCCTTCTGGTTAGCAGTCAAGTGCTTTAGCCACTATGCTACCAGAGCTCCTACTTTAGCCATGTGAAAATGATGAACCAAATTTAAAGGATGGCCACTATCTTACCTTACTTAGATGGTAGTGTGCTGTGTGCTATCATTGTCAAGTTGATTCCAACTGATGGAGACCCTGTAGATCAGAGTAGAAATGCTCCATAGGGCTTCCTAAGGTGAAATCTTTGTGGGAGCAGGCAGATTGCTAGGTTTTTTATCTTGCGAAGCAACTAGTGGGTTTGAATGACAACATTTGAGGTGAGCATTGTGCCACTAGGGCCCCTCCGTACTTGGGTGCCTAGTAACAAATACTCCTTTTGCTTCCTTAGAATTTATTTTGTGTTATTCCTAAATATTTTTGTTGCTGAGGGCTAATATATATTACTTTGAAACTTTTTAGAAGGAGGGATATGGCTTGTTAATACCTAAAGCTAGGGCTCAAATCCATTTGGAGTGTGATAAATTAAACTAGATGGAATAAATAAACAAACGTACTCTCAAAATGACTTTTATTCAGTGGCAGTTTCATCTGGGACCTATATGTAAAGCTAGTATCCATCTACTAGACCTTGGTACCGGGCTGTAACTACTTGAAGGTATCTTACATTGATATCCCACACTTGCAGATTCTCCTTAGCATTAATTTCTCTATTTATATTGTTACTCATTTGCAGGGGGAAAAAAATTAGCTTAAATGTAAAATATTTAATTCTCAACACAATAAATGATAATATCAACGAAATTTAAAAGCAATATTTTTATAACAGTAGTTCAGTTCAACAGGTTTTAATCTAGGATCTGTGTACTCAAGTTGGTATTTGTTTATTCTGCTCCAGTAGAATCTAGAATTCTTTTTTTTAAAAAAACACTAAAACAGCAAAATGTCTCTACTGCCCCCAGGGATGAATATTTAGAGAAAGGTCAGCATTGCCCTCAGGCTGACACTTTTGAAAGAATGTGCACCCCCAGTCTAGAGTGGTACCAGTTCTTCTTTGTGGTTTAGTTAATTTTGTGTGATGCTTCAAGTGTTGAATTGCCAGCATTTCACATGCTCAGATCCAAACAAATATACTCTAGTATCTGAAATATATATAGATAACAAATGTGAGATATTATTGCTTATTGTTTCCCACTGCCTTTATACTGGTTCGTGCTTTGTCTGTAATTGGGCCTTTAATTTACAATGAAGATGTATGTTCTTACTTCAGTGAATTAATGTAGGTAATCTTGATGTGTTTTTCATTGGAAAGGGAGGAGATTGAGGTAGTAGTACTCCAAAATAATAAAATCTTGATGAATATTCAGTTAGTAGAATACTGGTATGTCTTAAGGTCCTCTAATAGCCTACTAAATATAATAGTATGGTAGTCATGATTGAAACCTGTTGCTCTATAAACCAGGGTATGTTCTAAACTCCATTTAAATAATATGGTTGGTGGTTGGCAATTTTTTATATAATTTATATAAAGCATCCTTATGAATGCTTACAATTACATGAAATGTATCCTTTTGTTTTTATAGTCTGTTCGGGACTTGAATTACTCCTGGTTTAAGAAATCACTGCTGGGCAGTGTTGCGGATAACGGGGTAGTAACTCTCTGGGATGTGAATGGTCAGAGTCCATACCATAACTTTGAAAGTACACATAAAGCTCCGGCTTCAGGGATCTGTTTTTCTCCTGTCAATGAACTGCTATTTGTAACCATAGGATTGGATAAAAGAATCATTCTTTACGACACTTCCAGTAAGAAGTAAGTGTGATGTGCTCAATTCTTATTTTAATAACAAAGAATTATTATTGCATTAGCAGACATATTTGTGATTTGTATAGACCTCTGATTGATGTCCAGAATAGCTAAAATTTGCATATCTGATTTATCTAGTAAGATAGAATTTTCTCTTGTTCTTCTTGTGTAGAAAAATTAGATATGAGAGGGGTGAGTATTCTTTAGGGTTAGCCTGGAACATGAACAATGAGAGTAGCATGTTAATGATTGTACATCTTTATTTTAGAATGTATAATTAACTAGTTTAGTATGGCTTCATAATACAACTAATTGGGTATATTTTTAAAGTAGTATCATTAATTTGCTTTAAAATTAATTCATTATCTAGAGTAGGGTTTTTCAACTGTTGACCTCTTGGGCTGGATAATTCTTTGCTGTAAGGAGTTGTCCTAGGAATTGTAGGACATTCAGCAGTATCTCTGGCTTCTACCCACTAGATGCTAGTGGCATCCTACTAGTTTTGACAACTTAACTCTCTTCAGACTTTGCCAAATATCCCCTGGTGGGCACAGTTGCCCCAGCTGAGAACGACTGATTTGCAGCTATTGTTGCTGGGTGCCACTGAGTTGATTCTGACTCGTGATGGCCCCAGGTGACAGAGTGGAACTGCCCCACAGGGCTTTCTGTACATCTCTGTTAAAGCTGATTGCTGCCACATCTTTCTCCTGTGGAGCAGCTGGGTGGGTTCGAACCACCAATCTTTTGGTTAATAACTGAAGACTTAAATTTTCTACCACCAGGGCCCCTTGATTTAGAGTTAAGGGTATGTAATCTTCTAAGCATTTGGTTCCATTGTGCCTTCTTTCCTTTTTATAGATCTAGGTATATGTATATAGGTGTGTGTGTGTGTGTGTATATATATATATATAT